AGGAAAGGAAAGGAAAGGAAAGGAAAGGAAAGGAAAGGAAAGGAAAGGAAAGGAAAGGAAAGGAAAGGAAAATCAGACACAAAATGGCAAAAGCAAATGGTACAGATGAGAAAATGGGAACAGAGTGGTGATAAGAAACAGAAAAACAATGCAGAGTGAAGAAGGAGGAGAGGCATGATAAGAAACAGGAAAAAAAAAGATGAATAGTGTGAAGGAGATGGGGAAGTGTTGCTTTGTCGGGTTTCCAAAGCTGCTTCGTCATCAGTCAGCACTTCATTTAAAGAGGGACAGCTGCATTTTTTTGCAGCTTTTTATAGACCAGCTCACACTGACAAGCACAGAACACGCACATTCCCACTGTCGTTCCCAGCTGTCTTTAAGCATGCACGCATATTCCCAAAAGCACACATACACAACAGAAAAATGCACTCACCTCAAGTACTTTGCCACTTATGTACCTGTTACAGCTCTCACACCTGATCCCAAACTGACTGTGGTAGTCAGTCTCACAGTAAGGTATCCCATCTCTGAACAGTGAGAAACAGTGAGAAAGACAAAAAGCTCACAGTTTACTCCACTACTATTCATCCTGTAAAGATTTACAAAGCAAGTGCTACATTTCAATTTAATTTTGATAGTAAATAGTAGAAAAATGAGTAAAAAACCTCAACCTTTCCACAACTTGATGACAAATGTTTTAAACGTGCAATTTTCTAGTACGGTAGTTTCAGAATTAAAAGTCTGGATACAGGAGGCAGTTTCTGTGCAGTGGCTTTTGATGTGGATTGCTTGAAGAAACGTTTGATATTTGCCCAAGCACACCTATGACTGACTTGAGATAGGAAGGATCAAGCCACCTACTTGCTGATGTACTCTCCAGTGAGGGCGCAGCCGCATGTTCGGCATTTAAAACAACTGACGTGCCACTGTCTCTCCAAAGCCAGCAGAGACTGACCCTGTTTGATCTCCTCACCACAGCCGGCACAGTCTGGAGGGGAGGGGAGGAGAGGGGAGAGGAAAAGCAGGAAGCGCGGTAATGAGAACGCACACATGTACGATAGGAACAGGCAGGAACACTTTGAGCATTTATGCATTTATCACTCCCCTTTTATGTCCTTGCCTTTCTGCTCTGCCAACCTCTCATCACTTCTCTACCTCTTCCTCCTCTCTTCCTCATCCCTCTCTCCTGTCGTGACAGTCACACTGTCTCTGCCAGATGGAGCTACCAGGACTACCTGAAGCAGCAGGCCACCTTCTGTGTTTGTGGGTGTGTTTGGAAGTATCTCCCTGCAGCTACACACCTACAAAGATGCTGTGTTTTTGCAGCGTTCAGCAGGTGGACTGTGCAACTCTAGGTGTTCATTTGTAGGGGAACAAACAGTCTTACATGCTGGATGAATCACAAAGATATGAGTCAGTTAAATATCATTAGGCAGGGAAAAACCATAGCTAATAGCTTTTTTTTAAAAAAAAGATGATCTGGCAAAGTGCTGTAAAATGAATCTTCTTCTGCTTGTGTTAGGTTTGATGAATGGGACTTGATGGGATTTAGTTACACACACAAACTTAAATACTCAAAGCTGGACACATATTTATTTCTTCCTTTTCTTTAATTTGTTTGAGTATCAAACACGACATTTTGCATATTCTACAGGCTAGTAAATGAACCTTTGAGTTGAGTATATTCTTTTTAAAACACCATGCATTTCCTTGAAATATTCATGGAAAAATAATTATTACAAAGTAATACCTGCACAGCTTTTGAAGAACTGGATAATGTGTGTTGGCTTATCCTTTGTCTAGTGAAGAAAATGTGAGATATGTTGTTGCTGTGTATGGTGTTGTACACATCAGTGAGCGTATATTTTCATTTGTGTGTGTGTGCGTGTTTGTTTCTTACAGCTTGGTCCGTGGACCTTGACGGGCTTGTCGCTGTTCAGAGAAAGTGAACACTGCTGACACACACACTTTTTCCCACAGAAGGTCACTCTGTCTCCAATTGGAAATGGGCTTCTGAGAAAGCACGCATAAAAAAACCATTTCAGTAATGCCATGCAGAATGCAGATAGGGTGATAGATAATTCACAGTTTACCCAATCAGAAAACACACGAAATTCCAATTTGCTTGTACTCCCAAGTTGAACAGTATCGATGTACGTAAGTAGTATTGGTGCAGGTAATTCCAAGTTTCTTTAGCAGAAGTTTCACACAATATTTGCCATTATTTCTGCTACCCTTACATTATATATGAAAACTTTCCCAGCATTGAAAACGAACATTTAGCAAATTCTTTTTTACACTGGGACATTTTTAATAACATAAATACTGTCAAAAACTACCATCAGCAGTGTCAGAGGAGTATTTCTGCAGTTTGAATGTAGCAAAGAATAAAACGAGATCTCCAGGCTGATGTCAAAGTTGCGAGGATTAAATGTTGCTCTCAGCTCTGGAAATCTTTGTCAGATTCTCAGTGCGTAACAGTTAAAATGAATAACGCTTCATACCCAGTGAGGTATGGGATAATATTTCAGGGTAAAAGCAGAGGCGAGCACAGAGCCCGTGAGGCAGACACAGGAGCTGTTCTTAAGAAACCAAGAACATTTTAACACACAGCTTACTCGTACACAGTAATCTAAGCAGGCCTCTTCTAAAGTCGTGTGACAAACAACTACGATGTCATACTTTTAAAAAAATGCTGCCTTGCCACAAGGGGTCACCACAGCAGGCAGCTCTGCAGGTTTAATTTGGCTGAGCTTTACACCAGATGCCCTTCATGACACAACCCCAAAGGGGATCTGTGCCTCCGGCTGGAAATGAAGCAGCATCTTTTCACTTGGCAAGCAAACATGTAAACCACTACACTCAGGCCAGGGATCATTTTTATGTGCAGCAGAATTTCAACACAAACATCTTGCAATTATGTTTTTAATCAATCATTTTTTTTGAAAGGTTTGCATCTCTGTGTTATGACAGAAAACATTCACACAGAGTAAGTCTGTTAATTTTCTGCGTAGTTCATTTTGCTCACAATATCTACTTGTTGATTGTCATGTTTAAGTTGTACTTATGGAATCACAGCATTTCTTTAAGGTTAGAGTAAGATAATCCCCTTGGTTAAATAATACTTTTATGTCATGATCCATAAATCTGCTGACACCAGGAGCACCAGAACACTGAACCTTGCCACTCGAGTAAGTCATCAGACAACCTGTCCTGACCTGTCTTCAATCCCCACTGTGATTATTAAACTGTGGATTTTATTCTTTTCATTTTTTTGTCTGATGCCTTCATCTGAATTTATTACTGATCTCAGACAGACTACTACCAAGTATAGATTTACAAGATGAATGCGAGTTCAAATAACTTTTTTTTACTTTGACTATCTGCCTGCCAACATTTAGGTCTACATGAAGAAACACTCATTCTTTACTTGCAGATGCTGCAGACAAAGCAGTCTGGGTGGTACGTTCTCCCCAGGGCAGACACCACCTCTCCGGTGATGTACTGGTTACAGCTGTCACACTGGGTCCCGTAGAGCCGCTGGTAGTCCTTTGTACAGATGTACTCACCAGAATGGTGGAAGAAACCCGCATGCACCAAGTTACAGCCGCACACTAAACAGAGACACAGAACTTCATTTCTCATAAACAGAAGCAAAAAAAAGGATGTATAGTTACAATGTGGCAAGGTTGCTCATGATAGTCATGTTATTGAGGGCAAACTGTCATGACTAATAAAAGAACAGGGTGTCGAGTTGGTCAAATATGTATGTGATCAGTATGTATGATGTTCCACAAGCTGCTGAAGTAATTAAGAAACATTAATTGACAGCCTTCTTTGGCACAATCAACAGTATTAATCCACTTATCCACATAAAGGTTTCACCGGCTGACTTAAAGTCACAATTAATATTCTGTGTGTGTGTGTGTGTGTGTGTGCGTGCATGTGTGTGTGTGTGCGCGTGTACTGTTTGTGGGTGTAGATTAGTACAGTACGAGCTGTTGTCCTTTCTGAGCTCAGAAGGGTTAATACTCTAATCTACTTTTAGGGATTAGACCAGCGACCATCGTATCTTAACTCATACAGTATGTTATGCTTGTCCATCCAAATGAAGGTGCAATAAAGTTTCAGCCACTTCAAATGTTTGGAGTCTCACTGATTATGTAATACCATTAGGGAGGCTTCTGACTGGCCTCACATTGTGCATGGAGAACAGCGACTCCAAACACTGAGTAGGAGACACACAGAACTATCTTCAGGGACAAGAAGAACAAGAAGTCCTGCAACAGACGGTACAGCATCTACAGAACCCTGATCCTAATTTGTATTGCTTTTAACTTGCACGCGTTGTGTTTTATATACTATATATGGAATTTTGTCTCTATCTGCATGTGTCCAATTACAAATCACAACTTTAAATACATTTATGTGGAGGCAGAGCTGTGTGATAAGTGCATATCCAGCAAAAAAAAGGGGCACACAGATAGACACAGTGTTTGCGAGATATACTGGCAGTATGATCTACGGCTTTCATTTAGCTAATACAAAGTCCTTCAGCCAAGTGACTGCTTCTAGTCCGACTGTGTGTGAAGGTTAGGCGGCCTCTGCTCAGCTGGTTGATCAGGTGTTTTAAAAGGAACTGAACAGCTATTTGCTCCAGCTGGAGGGAGCTGAGTCCCTCATCTGCCATCAGTTGTGCTTTATAGTATTTATTACAATATGTGTCAGCCAATGGCTTATATTAACCAAAAATTCTTATGTAGTGGAACCAGTGTAAAGATATTTTCCCATGAAAGTATCTAAAAAGAATCAAATTACTGCTATGCTTTCACCTCTGCACGTCTGTCACTGACAGATAATTTGTAACGGACTTGCCCAGGATACGCTGCATTATCCACAGAGGCAGTATGATGAAACCTTTACGTACTTTAGGTTAGACGACTGAAAGGCAGCCAACGGATCAAGATATCTGACAGTGAATTGAACGTCTAGTCTCTAATTAAGCTAATGGCTCTAAACCCAACAGTGAGTGGATTTAATCTGAGCCAGTGTGTTAAGAGGCTCAGACAGATAGAGAGGAGCGAGATAGATGTATAGAACTGTATAGGAAAGCTGAAGACATCATAAATATGGTAAAGCAACATTAAGTAACAATATGAGCCTGCAGCCAAACTGAGGAATTTTCATTTAAGTATATTTAAAGGGTTTTGAAAAGGATCCAACTCGCTTTACAATTACCTTATAACACCTTAAAAGTTAGATTTATATGGTATTGCTGTTCAATATACATTTTATTACAACAATGCCCGTCATCATTTGTGGACTGCTGACCATAAAAAAGAGTGGAATAATAGTAAACACTACAGAGAACTATGAGAAGTTTATTCAATCCTTATTCATTCAGTGCTTTAGAAATAAATGACAATATTTTAAATGAAGTGTCTGACAAATAGGATCCCAAAGTAAAGACAACACACTGACTGCTGCATTTAAACTGATGACTTTTACAGTTCATTCTAATTTCTCTCTGACCCGAATTAAAGCACAAAGCTCACACTGTGATAGACTTTTTTGTAACTCTTCACAGTGAAGGCTAACAGTCTGTCTTATGTACTAAGTATTTCGTTACTTATTATTTAGCCTGAAGATTCTGAAGTAAACTTTTGTAGTGTAGGACAAAAGATAACAATACTGTATTAAGCGTTCTTTGGGTGGGGGTGGGTGGTTCTTTTCTCCTCTGGCAAAGCGGCTGTTGTACAACTTTGAAATGCCAGCCTGACCTTTATCAGTCGGGCTGAGACTAAAGCAGTTCACAGAGGAAGAGTTACAGTTACTGAAGCACTCATTCTCGCACTCATTGTACTCACATACTGCATGTCAAAACAAAAGGCCATTTTTATGTGACATATAAAAGGTAAATATTGTCAAGCCAAGCAAGTCAACCTGTCATGGTTTTGAGATTTTAGGATGTTTTGGGATTTTTCTCATTTTTGATCATTTTTGTATTATAGTTCTGCGCTTCTGTAGGTCTTTAGGTTCATTCTAGGTTAAAATGAGTTTTGTGTTTGAGTCCTTTGTTCATGTTCTATATTCCTGGTGCCTCTGAGTTTTAATATCGATTATTGTGGTTCGAGGTTTATTTTTTTTATGTTGGTTTCCTTTTGTTTCCAGTCTCTGTTCCTCATTAGGTTATGTAATCTTTAGTTATCATCTTTTATGTTCCCTTTGTGTCTCCCCAGTCAGTCATGTTGCCATGTTTGTTTATCTCCAGTCACTGTGTCAAGTTGGCGTCTTAGTCCTGGCATTAGTGTTTATTACTTCTTTTTTTATTTTAATGGTCCCTCGTCTCCTGTGTGTTGTGTTTGGTTTTGGCACCCCTTGTCTCGTTAGTGTGATTGTGTTCAGCTGTGTTCCCTGGTGTTTCCCATTTCCCTCATTACCTGGTGCATCTATATTGTCTGAATCTCCCTTTGCTCTCTTTTACATCATCCATCATGGTTGTGTCTTCTGCAGCACGTTTTCCCAGTTAAGTTGAAAGTTTGATTTTCCTCATGTTGTTTTGTACTTTGTTTTAGTTAATAAAGCCACTTTTTAGTTTTCTCCTTTGTGTTTCCCAGTCCTGCGTTTGGGTCCAACTCTGCCAGCCACACAACCAGCCTCAAATACACATCCCATCATTTCTCACCATGCAGATAACGTTCACACATTCATCACTGTCTCAATGGAAAGCTATTAAGATATAGAGGAAACAGGGAAGAGTGGGAGCTGTTAAGACTTGGCCTCTCCAGAGGCTTCTCTGTTATTTTTGGATTTCAAATCGTAGGCCAGTTTCCAAAAGCTGTTCTCGCTGACAAAAATCAATGCATGAATTTTATACAGGCTGATATCCTTTCATATTTATTTTTCAAATAATCAAGATCACCAGAGAGCATTCAACAAATATTTATGTCATTTTAATTTTCACTGGTGAATTTAAACATATTTAAACCTTTTTATTAGTTTTATCTTACTAGGGATGGCAAAAGCAGTCAGTTAGTACGGTAGGTGTAATCCCACTGCTGGTCCAGACTGAAATATCATTTCAACAATATCCACGACAGACCTAATGGCATTTTGATCATTTGTATTTCACTAATGACGGTTGCTGGACACGCACAGCTGCAGCTCTCCCGCTGCCAGCTCAACAAAACAACAACCTTAACTCAAAATCTAGACTTTTAAAGCCGGTGAGGCGTGATTGTAGAGTATTGTACAGGTATTTATTGTCGAACTATTTGAACCTGGTATTTAACCAATTCTCCTTTGATGATACTCACATTCAGCCACTGCTTTGGTTTATGACTAAAACACAAACTTATCGTTGTAGTGTCAGCTTTGTGTTCAGTGATAACTAGCAATTGTTAGCTTAGTAACAAACTAAACTAAGATAGTAAATACGCTTATCCAGTTTTATATTTGCATGTCATGCACATATCAGCTGCTGGCATATCTTTACACAATGCTTTGCTATTTTTTTGTGAAACTGATATAAACCCACTTCAGGTCCAATCCATGTAAAGAGGACTTTTAGGAAAGTTTACCAGACTAGGCTTCATGTGCCCATTCAAATATTAGTTAGCTTTAAATGATTGTTTTCTGAAGCATTCAAATATTTTGAGTCTGGTGAACCATGAGCCGTTGGGCTACAGTTACATTGTAAAGTTTTTAAAACTGGGCTAAAAGACCTGCTGCACATAGTGCTGCACATTTTATTAGCATGCTAGTGCTAATAAAAAGCCAGAGAGCCTGACATTGACCACTGATTATTTTTAGGGGCTTGTTTACATCGCATAAAAGAAGATACAAAGCATTAAAGCACGTTAAAAAGACAACGGCTTTAATGAACACAGTAGGACCCAAGACCTGGAAGGAGGGCTGATACATCATCCAGTAGCTCACCATATCTTATAAAAACTTTTTTTTCTTTGCAGTCATATCTTTAAAATGTACGCAGATACTGCCACAAAAGGCCCATCCCTATATGTAGTCTTTTATAATACAAGGGCACGCCTGACCACAAATAATTCCATTGAACTAAAAAATTCATTTGACACATTTACAGTGTAATTATAATAGAAGACGAAAATGTCACAGCAGTGAACTCCCAGAATATAAATGAGCATGTGCCGGCCTGCTACCATCCATTATTCTCCCTCTGTCACATGACATTTTACTCTTTCATGGACAGTTGGAGCAAATCTTCCCACTGCTACTTGAACTTGCTGACTGAGCCTTAATGTTGGGTTGAATGTTCATATAGGTCAGAGACTTGTCAGGCACTTCTATCCATACCCTGTCAAACAAGACCTTAGGACAATGTGACCTTACCCCTGACACTCCGTGACCCTCACCTGCTGTCCCAAACTGAAGGAGGGTTTTTTTGTTTTGTTTTGTTTTTTTAATATTTAGACTGCTCTGTGTGTTGAATCAGCATTAACCAGTTCCTCCAGGAGCTAAATAAAACCTGACATATCAGAGAGTCCTATATGCAGTGTAAGCCACAAACGATTATTTTGATAGTTGACTAGTCACCGATTATTTTTGCGATTAGTCAACTAATCAGATCGTGCATCCA